AGGAGCTGAAATTAAAAATAAGCCGATCAGATTCCATCCAAATGACACGGAAATTACCGCTACAAAATCACCATCTCCCACTTCGATTTCAAATTTTAAATTAGACAAGATGCTGCTTGTGAGCATGTTTGCCTTGTTAATGTAATAAGTTAATTAGGTTAAGGGTAGTTTAGTCTTATTATGTTTCCTTAGTTTTGTACTATATAAATCATTGTAATCTTACATTATGCAACCAAATTTGGAGGCGGCTATCAATCGGTTTTCTCTCTTTCTTCTCCATTCTTCATCTTTGGTTTGTTGTTTTCTATATGGTATCAGAGCGGATTTAATCTTGGATTAAACTTTTGAGCTTCCATTCTCCGGCGAGCGGCCTTGTGCCGCTCATCCAACGGTCAGAGGATTTTACTGTTGTGGTAAGTGCTGCTGTGGTTCTTGGTGATAGAGTTGAGGGTGATATTGGTGATGAGAATAAGGAGAATGTTTTGTTCTGCTCCTTGATGAGTTAAAGGTGGTTTGAATTTCTGATCTCAACTGCTTCAGGTGACCAGGGGTGCTGATTTTTTATTTCAACAGGTTCGATTTTCTTTTCTTTGGTGTTAGTGTTTGGTTGGTCACCGTTGGGATTTTTTGGAATTTGGATTGTGTTTTCCAGCTCAGTTTGGTAAGGTAGGTTACTGGTCAGATTGGTTTTCTGAACATTTGAGGTTTGGTCTTCTTCTTCGATTCAAGTTGGATTCTTATGGGACTGTGCTTAGGTTTGGCCATAATTTTGGAAGCTTTTGGTCAGATTTGAACTTCAATTCAGTTGGTGGCCGATCATGGTTTGACGGCAGTTTTCCGGAGTCAGCTTGGGCTGTATCAGTAAAGTTTTACTGATGGGTTGTTGTGATGAATGCTGGTCAGCTGGTGGTTGACGTTTGTTTATGGTTGAGTATTGTTGTTGTAGGAGGTCGGTAATGTTGGATGTGTGTTGGTGTCAACAAGAGGCAGCCGCAGCCGCAGTGCTGGAGATGATGAAGTTGGAGGAAATTGGGCCAGGTTTGGTTTCGTGGGTTATGGGCTGTAGATTGGTTTTGGATCCTGGAGTGTGTTGAAATTGGGCCAGTTGGTTCAAGTTGGCTTGGATTTGTTGTGTTGGGCCTGCTGTGTTAGTTTTTTTTTTTAGTTGGGCTGGTACTTTAATTTTTAAGTGGGCTCGAAATGTTTGATGGGTCAGCTGAATTGGGCCTAAGTAGTGGGCTGTGGATTGCCAGCAGTTTGGTAATGTTGGATTTGGGCCTTGCATTTTGAGATTTCAATTTGTGCATTTGGGTTTTTAAAAAAAAAAAAGAAAGAAAGAAAAAAAAAAGGTGTTGGACTCTAATTAATTAGGCCTGCTGGAGAAGTCTCTTCGAAAAAAAAAAAAGTAGATTAATTGGAGTTTTCCTCATTATGGCATTATGGAATATGATTATGTATGGGCTGATTTTGGGTAATATTTGTTGCATATTGTTGGGCCTTGTTTGATGAGTTGCTGAAGATGGGGATGTGTTGTTAGCTGTGGGTGTATTAAATTTGGCATTTGTCGAGCTTGAATTTAGTTTTGTACCCAGTTCGCGGGATTGAAAATTTGGTTTGGTGCTCAGTTCAGGATGCAAATTTCGTTTGATGCCCGGTTCACGGGATTTGGAAATTTCGTTTGTTTGCCCGATTCACGGGATTAGAAATTTCGTTTGATATTTGTCCTGGAGTTTGGAATTTGGCATAGTCAGTTCTTGGAATTGGTATGGCAAGTTCAATTTGAAATTTGAAATTTGCATCTGTTTGGTTTTGCTGAGATTGTGTGGTTTTGTTGATTATCTACAATTCGGCATCATTTCCCTACCTTTCGTTGCTCTCCGTCGTTGCAACTTGTAGACTTTGCCACGAAGTCAAATTCGATTTATCATTTACGCTTTTTGTTGGCCAAACTCTCGTTGCTCCTTGTTGTAGCATCGTGAGTTTGAGGGGGGATGTTAATGTAATAAGTTAATTAGGTTAAGGGTAGTTTAGTCTTATTATGTTTTCTTAGTTTTGTACTAAATAAACCATTGTAATCTTACATTATGCAACCAAGTTTGGAGGTTGCTATCAATCGATTTTCTTTCTTTCTCCTCCATTCTTCATCTTTGGTTTGTTGTTTTCTACATGCCTACAGGCGTGTCTTGGGCTTACATTGTGTAACATACTCTTATCAGTAATAGAATTCATTTACCTATACAAAAAGGTTCAAATCGTCTTAATTCAGTGGTGATAGAAAACTAGTTCATAATTTAAAATTTTCACATACGTTTTGGCAATTTTGACGTCCTTAACAACTTTAGTACACTTTGGTCCAATCTCCAGCGTGTTTTTCTTTCAGCATAAAAAAAAATCGAAAATCGACTCTAAAACCAGCTTAGATGAAAGCTTTGAGGGTTTGAATGTATTTTCTCAATTGTTGAAGGAGTGATTCAGCCTAGAATTACAAGATCTTATGTTATAATGTTATAAATATTCTTGACATAGTAAAACTTTACACTTTGACTGACTGGACGTGTTTTTGGTAGTGAGCAAGTGTCTGCAATAAAACAGACGAATTTAATCTCCCAACTTTAATTTGAACAATCCAAGGGGCTTACTGAGGGGACTAATCATTGGTT